GGGCGCCCAACCGGCTGACCTGAGACCCCCTGTGGCCACGATCTGCCGCCGTGACTGGGTGGGAGGATGGGCGGCGCCGACCCCGAGGGCAGGGATAGGTGCTGACCACGCGCTGTCCTCCCGGCTGTTTAGTTCTTGCGGACTTGAACTTCCCGGCCTCCTCCATCTGCCAGTGTGGGCCCCTGGAGATCCGTGCAGACGGTGAGCGAGCCCCAGGTCCCCCAGGGCAGGGCGGGCGGGTGAGCAGTGCTCCTGGCTCTGAGGCTCCTCTGTGGCCTGTGGTGGCCCCAAGTCCATGCTTGCAGTGTGGAGGGTGCAGGCGGGCAGGCGGGCTGGAGACTGAGTGCCGCCCCCTCTGCCCTCCAGGCCTGGGCATCCCGCCGCTCCTGGAGGCCCTGCTGAAGCTGCTCCCCCTGGACACCTATGTGGAGAGTCCGGTGAGGGTTGAGTCGCCCCTACACCCTGCTGCTCCGCGCCTCGGTTTCCCCTTTTGCGGGCTTCATAGGGCCCACCTGCCTTGGAGTGCAGGGGAGAAGCCATGTGTCCCCAAGGGGCCCTGATCCTCACCAGGGGAGTCCTGAATGGTCACCTGACCAGGAAGGCTGGCAGCACCCAGGGCCCCAGAGCTGACCCCTCCCTCTAGGCTGCAGTCATGGAGCTGGTGCCCAGCGACAAGGAGAGGGGCCTGCAGACCCCGGTGTGGACGGAGTACGAGTCCATTCTACACAGGGCCGGCTGCACGGTGAGCCTGCAGCCCCAATTGTGGGGAAAGGGCCAGGGACCCCCTGTCTCCTGGAGGCTCAGTGGGAGCCAAAGACAGGGTCCCAAGCTCTGTCCTCAAGCGGTCTCCCACCCATCACCCTGAGAACCCCGGACCACTGGGCGCTCCCTCACCAGCCGGGTGGAAGAGGTGCACATGGGCAGTGTGGCCCCTCTTCCTCTGCCCCCGAGCTTTCCACCTGCCCCCCAACTCCGCCCAGGATCCTGACCTGCCGGGGCGAGGTGGGAGGGGTCCTCACCCACCACAGCCTGTGAGTGAAGCCTGGAGGACGCAGGATGCCTGGCCTCCACCTCCTCAGTCTCCCCTGGGGGAGTACCCCCTGGTCCCAGGTCTCTCGCCCCCTCCTGGCTATGGTTGGTCAGAGGCCTAGCCGCCTCCTCACCTTGCCCTGCAAGGAGACAGGCCCATTCTCCCGGGCAACCCACTGGCAGGTCTCGGGCAGGGCCTCCATAAGGGGAGGCCAGGGTCTCTCGTCCTGGGCAGGGGACCCCCTAGGACAGCTGGCAGGGGCTTGACAGTCTGCTGAGCTGGCTGGGTGGTCCCAGGCCAGGCAGAAACCAAGCATAGCAGGTTCCTCATCCACAATGTCCTGGGGCCCCCGTCCTAGGCCTCGGGAGCCAGAGGCTGAGTGACCCTGGGGCCCCTGCAGAGGGAGAGCCCAAGAAATGGAACTGAGGGGCCCCATTTCCTGGTGCCCTCCCTACTTGGGGCCGTGGGGAGTCCAGGGCTGGCCCATGAGGGTTTCTGGACAGGGTTTCCTCCAACCCTGCCATTTTGTCTTCCAGAGAGCCCTGGCAAAGTTAGAGAGGTTCGAGTTTTATGAGCGGGCTAAGAAGGCTTTTGCTGTTGTGGCAACGGGGTGAGTTCCAGCTGACTCAGACCTGTCCCCATCCCCACCGGCCCCTCAGGAGCTGCCCCCGTCCCCACCGGGGCCTCAGGAGCTGCCCCTACCCTCTTCTCAGCTTCTGCCTGGCCGAGGCTAGATGTCCCACAGAGTGGAGAGACCAGGGAGGAATTTGGGGGGCAGGGCCCCCATTTGCCTGAGCATCAAGTGGGTGAAGGTGGACGGGGTCTGCTCCGTCCCCCAGAGGCTGGAGAAAGGTCTCAGCACCCTGGCCCTGCCGCCCAGCTCAGTGCTGGGCTTGGCTCCTCTGCAGGGAGACAGCCCTCTACGGAAACCTCATCCTCAAGAAGGGGGTGCTTGCCCTCAGCCCCCTGCTGTAGGCCTGGTGAAGACCACCTGGGCCGGAAGAGGAATTGGGGGCACCCTGAGCTCCGGTACCACCACTCACAACAGGCCTCCCAGCAGCAGCCCCAGACCTGGGCCCTGGCCAGGGCTCTAGGGGGCCGGCAGTCATGGGGTGGGCCCTGCCAATTGGTACAAATGTCCCTGATTTGTGAAAATGATGAAAAAACGTAGTCGCCGGTAAACGTTCAGTCTAAAGGTTTTAATTCTGTTGTCACTCAGGCTTGTTTGGTGCTGAGCTCAAGGGAGGCTGCTGGCTCCAGAGAAGGCCCCCCATGTACCCTTGACAAAACCTTGAGTGGGAAATCAGGCCTGGGGCCCTGGGGGCTGGGCGGGTGCCTGGGGCCCTGGGGGC